TAACCATTACTTGGCCAGATATTTCATTTGCAGTTAGTGTGGTGAGTTAGTTTATGCAGAAACCTCGAGTTCCACATTGGGATGCAGTTCTAAGGATTGTAAGGTATTTGAAGGGAGCTCTTGGTTGTGGCTTGATATATAAGAGTGGAGGAAAAATGTGAAATAGAGGGATCGACCGATGCTGATTGGGCTAGTTCTGTATTTGACAGAAGATCCACTATAGGTTATTGTACTTTCCTTAGGGGTAGTCTGGTGACGTGGAAAAGTAAGAAACAAACAATTGTGGCAAGAAGCAGTGCAGAAGCTGAATATAGAGCCATGACACATACCACTTGTGAATTAGTGTGGCTGAGAAATCTTCTACAAGAGATGGGATATTCGATTGACACTCCAATGAAGCTTTATTTTACAACCAAGCTACAGTTTACATCTCTTCTAATCCAGTGTTTCATGAGAGAACAAAGCATATAGAAGTTGACTGTCACTTTGTGAGAGAGAAGGTGCTTAGTGGAGTGATAGATACTACATATGTTAACATAGGGAGTCAATGGGCAGACTTGTTCACCAAAGGGTTGAGTCGGGGAAGAGTGACTACATATGTAACAAGCTAGGACTATATGATATATACTCACCAGCTTGAGGGGGAGTGTATAGTCGACTGTATTGGGGTAATTTAGTCTTTCTATTTATGTTTAAAGCTGATGTGTAATGTTTATGTTATGTGATGTGTCCTATACTTAAGTAGGGAAATAATAGTCTTTTGTTTATTGAATAGAAACATATAAATATAACCTAGCCGACTAGAGAGATAGATTAAGCTCTCTAGTTCGAACCAGATTTCTCTTATCTTTTTTTCTTCTTCTATTCTCTCTAGTATCCCTAGCCGACTAGAGAGATAGATTAAGCTCTCTATGTCTGGTTTCTCTCTTCTTAGTAAGTCTTTAATTGCCCTTATCTTTCTTTCACTTCCCAATCCTCTCACATTCCAACTGATGATTTTCATTGAACACTTCTTTCAAAAAACTCTTCCCAAAAGACTCCACCTTATAGCAGAATCTTTCTTCTTTCCCCTCTCCCACTAAATTCAATGTCACCCTTAGTCTTCCTAGATAATGCATTAGCTTCAGCCACCTCTCACCCCAAATTGGAACTTCTGTACTAGTCCTTCTCTTGAGAAATTACTGCTCTCTGCATTTGATCTAATTCCTCCTTCTCTTTATACTCCTCCAACAATGCGCAGATCCTCTCCCATATTCTCTCTAATTCCTCCTCTTGTCTCTCTCTAGGTGCCACTTCTCCCTCTCTCAGTTCACTCTCAGAGTTGCCATTCTCTCTTCTCTTCCCTCCAACTGGAACTTCCGCTCGGGATGCTGGAGTATCTGTTTCAAGCATAGAAGGTACATTAGTAACCAAAACCGAATAGATAGTCATACCTGTGTTGTTGGGGATCGATGGGACATCATTCAAGGGAGGGGGACTCGCATAAGGAGGTAGGCCTAAATCTGTTCCCTGTGATTGAGCTTGCCTTAGAGAGTTTACAGTAGGATTAATACCCTGTCGGCTTTAACAGTTAAACTATTCTTCCCGTGCTGCCCTTCTTTTGGTGTTACATTACAGATCAAAGTGTTAGCATTTTTCCCTACCGACCTCATATCCTGTTTTTCCTGAGATATTGGATTGACTTCCCTTGCGAGTGCAGACAGCACCTTCCTCAACTATTTGTGAATCATCTTCTTCCTTGCTTTCCTTATAGAGTACATCCGTGCCCAAACTATCTTCATCAAAAATATTCCTCAAGCTGCTCAGGTTGATGCTCCCTAAGCTTACTGTGTCGTCTGAATCCGTATCACTGGAATCTTCCTCCTCAGAGCGATCATACTGCTTCCGCTCCTCTAATTCACTTTGCTTGAAACTCCTCGGGTTGGGTTTTTCCGGAAACATCCTGTTTAATCTCTCTGACACAACCCAATGTAATGAGTTTCCAGGATGGGCGAAGTTCGATCTTCGTGGTTTTCGGGCCGTTGTGCTCAACGAAGAAGAAGATAGATGGTGCTTACAATCTATCGACGCCACCCCCTGGTCACGTGACTTTTAAAATTGTCTTGGGTCCCTTTGATGGGCTGGTAAGGTTCAGCCCATAATTTGTTTTATCATATTGTTACCCCTGTCCCAGCTTAGATAGGCCCACAACGGTTGGCCCACTATGAGTTTTGTCCCTTCTTCTATTAGTTGGCCCAACTTTTAGAACCTGGGGCCCACTTATTTGAGAAGGTCCACTTCCAATTACCTGGCCTGGATTGGGTAGAGATTTCCTATTTATTTTTAAAGGACCCAACGTTTCAGCTCCCCTACTCTCTTTTGACTTCAGCTCAAAGGATTTTACTGCCCCCTTCTCACCTTTTCTCAGTCGAACAGTTGTGTTTAAGGAAGATGCTTTAATGCCATTTGTTACAGCTAGTGCATATGATCTGTCAGATACCTAGCTAATGCCTTGTTGATCACATTTATGACTTCTCATCTTCGGCAAACCTTTTGAATTTCCAAAAGCTTGCTTGCCCTTTTTTGTGTAACTGTATCTTCCTTGCAGGTTTACCAACCCCTTGCTGCCACGTAAGGTTTCTTCTTCAACCTTACCATCTTCCTCCCTTCGAGCTTCCCTCCACATTTCAGCTTCAATGGAGGAAGTCAACCAGACTGCCATGAAAGCTCCTTCAACTCTCAGGTTCACTTTCCTGGGAATTTCCTCAGGCTTGACTCCATTTAGTAAGATTGCTGCAGACCTGAGATCTCCCCAAAAAACACCAGCCAGTCTTGCTCCACACAGTTCTGCGATAGCTTCTGCTACTTCTTCCTTCCAAAGATGGAAAGGTAGACCAACCACGCGCACTTCTACTCCATCCATTACTGAGAGTTCTTTCGAGTTTGATGAAGGAGACCACCTGAATATGTTCACCAACCCAGTTTATCTTGCAAATACACAGCCTCAACTTCCGGTTTGTTATCCAGAGGATCAAGCAAATCTTTGCACCCATCAAAAGGCATTAATACAAATGTGGTTGTCATCCTCAGCTGTTTTGTCACCAAATCAGCAATCTCCTCCCAACTTCTACCTGGTTTGTCTACTTCAACAATCAGTTTATTGGACCACTCTCCTTTTTTTGCCGACATCAGTAATTCCGCTCTATTCCCATCTTGCACCAAGGTAGGGGCCATTTGGTTGGGGGTTCAAGGTTCACTACTGTCTTCGAGAGATCCTCTCTTACCTTGTTTTCCAAACTTTTTTCCTTTTTCATTTTCATTCTAGACATAAAGTCTCTCATAGCCTTGACTATTTCATTCCACCCTTGGCTCTTTCTTCCTTCTGGGAAACAGACCATTTGCTTCCTAGCATTGTCATAATGCTCTGAAAGTGTTATGAAGAATCCTTTATGATTTTTCCTGCATTCCACCACAAACCTCCTTCCCACCTCTGTTAGGAATTCTTTCCAGCATCTGTCCTTTCCTTTTGCACTCGCTGCGACTACAAAATCTATGAACCACGCTACCACATTCAGTCCTACCAACAGCACCGTAGCCAGCTTAGCTTCCTTGATTTTCAAGCTAATCTGCCCTCTGATTCTTAGTTCTTCCAACAGAAAGTTCTTCGCCTCCACCTTGAGATATTTTGTCCATCAATTGGCCTCCACGAAGTTCTTCTCCTCCTCCATCTTCAATCTACTATGGTAGTTGTGATATTTTCTGCATTTGTACATCTCCTTCCCTTTCCACTTTCTTTTTTTTTTTTTTTTTTTTTTCAGGGATGGATATCAACGTTTCCATACAATAGATGGGTCTTGCAACCTTAAATCTCCTCACCTCGCTGACCACCGCCTTGAGGTTCGGAACTAGCAAAAAATTGGGACCCATTCCCATCTCCATCATCTATAATAAGCCCATCTTTCTTCACACCTTTTCTCTTGTACACCTTCTTGAAGTTTTTTGTAGGCCCTGCCCCCACCAGACCGAGTTTCAGCTGAGAAAACTTTGGTAACATGAATGAGTTGGGAATTTCTGGAACAACGAGGTTTCTTGGCAACCTCGGTATCTGGGCTACCGATTTCCTTGTAGCCATAATCTCTGCCTCATCCATGTTCTTCTCGACTACCTTTCTTCTTCAACCTAGGTCCACCCCTAACCTTCCAATCATCACTTATTCAAGAACAAGAAGGTCAGCATTTGATCTCCCTAATTGGTTACTGTCCTTGCAAAACACATTATCTAACAACCTCCTTCTTTCACCACTCTTCCCTCCTCCCCATCTTTAATCCCCTTTGCAGCTTCCTCCTCCTCCCTCAAAACAACCCCCGAGTTCTCACAAATTTCCCCTATGGCCTTACCAGACTGCTCACTAGACTTGCAGGTGCCTTCTTGTATAGATACGTCTTCAAACCCCTTGACTTCCTCTGCTTTGGAGGCCACCACCAAGTCTTCCACCAAGCGACCACTGCAAACCAAAGCACAACTAGCATTCAAATCATTTTGTGAAGCCTCCTCATCACAAGTCCTCTAAACCTATGAACTTTTTTGTTTTAATCTCCACCATTTTTATTTGAAATTACAGACGTTAATTAATGAGAGCACCTAATGTGGTCAGCCATGGGACAATATGAGTTGTCTACACATAGTAAAACCTCGAATTTGGCCAAGTAATTTCAATGCTTCTCTATCCAATTTACTGAGTTACTATATTTTTATGGATCCAGGGTCTATATTTTGTTGAGGTTGTTTCCTTTATGGATTTAACAAAAGTAGGTGCAAGTGGAGCCCCTTGCACATAATAAAACCTCTGATCTGATATAATCTTTTATTCAGGACTATGCTTTCTCTTGCTTCTCTAATGCTGCATTTGGTTTTTTAATCTGAGGCTCTGTATACATCTTCTTAATGAACAAACTGCACTGAAGAACTCAAAGACTGGTGATCATATTTGTTAGTTGGTGATCTCTTTCTTTTTTGTGCAGAATGATCTGATTCATGGATGGGGTTTGGACATGAAACTTGGATATTGTGCTCAGGTGAGAGTTTTATTTTAGATTGGTTGGACTGCACAAATACACATTAAGACAAATATATAATTTCTATTGATGTAAGTTGTGACTCAACTGGACTTTCTCACCAGTATTCTGCTGGTCTTTGTGGCAACTGAGTAATAGAGTGTTCACATTCTTGTCATTTTTCACTTTGAAAGTTAAATTCATGTTATTCTTCGATAGTCAGTTCTATATACTACCTAAATTTAGATTTACATTGAAGTATGCTTGACGTTGGCTGTTCCTTTTTTGTTTCAATGCTTCTTGGACCTCCAGATGTAAAAGAACTCTTATTATTGTGGTTATTTCATGTTCTTGGTTGCAATGTCACTAAATTTATTTGGTGCCAGTTTGGGACTCAAGGCAAGGTCACAAGGAGGGAGGGAGAAGCTTAATTAAATTCACAATAAAATGGAGAAGCTGAATGAAAGAAATAAAATCATACTTTTGATGTTTCTTGTTCATTAGTCATACAAACAAAAGTTCCTTGTGGCTTTGTTTTGATGTCATCCTTATTGTGTTCTATATTTTAATTGTGTGCCTAATTCAGCTTTTGATAAACATTTCTGCTTCCTGACTTATTTCTTGATTTTCTTTTATTTTCTCTTCCTCCTTGCATCTTGAATGTGCGCTTTCTGCAAAATTTGGAGAAGCTTAATTAAATTCACAATAAAATGGAGGAGGTGAATGAAAGAAAAAAAATCATACTTTAGAATTTCCTCATTCATTTGTCATACAAATGAAAGTTCCTCATGTTTTGTTGTAATGTAATTCTGCCTACTGTCTTATTTCTTTATTTGCTTTTATTTTCTCTTCCTCCTTGCATCTTTGGATGTGTGCTTTCTTTAACATTTGGATTCAGGATATGATATGCCTGATTCACATTATCGTTGAGATGCTGTAGGGTCATCACTGAAAGGAAAACCAGAAACCCGAAAGGAGAAGGCCTCACTGTACTTGCAAAACACATTATCTAACAACCTCCTTTCACCACTCTTCCCTCCTCCCCATATAACGCTGATAGTTTTCACTGGGGAATATGTTGATTACAATAATGTTTCATGTGGGTATCCATGAAAGTGAAATATTAGGAAATATGTCTACATTTAAACTATGGTACATATCATGTCAAATCCAGTGTTCCAGAAAAGAACAAAACATATTTAAGTCACTTTTCACTTGTGAAAGATAAAGTTGTTCATGAATAGGGTTGATTTAATTTAGAACAAACTTGGGTTATATATATACTCGAGCTTGAGGTTGAGTGTTCAAAATGCTGTATTATGCAATATATATCGGTTGGTCTGTAAATCTACAAAACATTAATTCCATGGTCTTTGTAACTGTTTAATAGAGGGACGTGAATGGTAACTAATCAATAATACTTTATTATCTTGTTTCTTTCTCTTAGTCTTTTAACCTTATCTCTTTGTTCTTCGTTCTTTTTCGAATTGGTAACAAAATAACATTGTTTTAATACTTAATATGTAAGATGTGGTGCAAAAGAAAGGAGGAAGAGATATCTGCAAAGAGAGTTATTTTGCAATGATTTAAGAAAAACCAAGAAGAAAAGAAACATTTAATGTGTAACTAGCTCCTTCAACTTGGTATCAGAATCTGCTCTTCTTATCCCCTTGAACTCCTTATGTGCCGATGCCGAATCCATTATAAAAGAGTTGATTTCCATATTTTGTATAAAGAATTTGATGTTCCTCCAAAACTTCTGTGGCTCGTCTCCTTCTAGATATCCTGTGCAGTTGCAAAGCTCCATAAAGCACCTTTTGATTCAAAAGACATTTATAGCCTGATCTCAACCCAAAAAACTGAAAAGATAGAGAGGAGAAGAGAAGAGAGAAGAGAAGAGAAGAGAAGTTCAAAGGGCCCAAAAGTAGCTTGGTGGCCTCATTTTTATTATTTATAGTGGGACAAGTCAAAACAATAAAAATAGGATAGAAAGACATATATACCCCTGCAATGTAACATAAAGAGAAAACAAGAAAAAGAATAACAACAATCTACTAACACCAATCTAACAATACTCCCCCTCAAGTTGGGTTGTTTATGTCAATCATGCCCAATTTGTCATATAACTCATTGTGCCGCAAGTAGTGGAGCCCCTTAGTAAGAACATCTACAAGTTGATCCTTGGTGTTGACATGAGAAGTGCACACTTCACCTTTCTCAATTTTCTCTCTTATAAAATGCTTGTCTACTTCTATATGCTTTGTTCTGTCATGGAGGGCAGGATTAGACCCTTTACCTAAATCACTTTAGCAACCCCATGTGCCATATAGCCTTGTATTCAGCTTCAACACTCGACCTTGCTACTACGCTTTGCTTCTAGTCTACCATGTCACTAAATTTCCACCCACAAAGGTACAATACTCATTGGTGGACTTCTTGTCATCCACTACACTTGCCCAATGAACTTCTGTATACACCACTTTTAGATGACCATGCTTCTTAAACAACAACCCAATTCTCAAGTACTTTTTCAAGTATCTAACAACCCTCTCAACAACTTCCATGTGTGGCACTTTAGGTGGATGCATGAATTGGCTCAAAACTCTGAAAGCATAGGCAATATCAAGAAGAAGAAGAAGAAGAAGAAGAAGAAGAAGAAGAAGAATCAAACATAGTAGGCTAAACCCTACAATTCAACTATAATATGGATTAGGGGTTTAATTTAGTACAAAGACTAAACTGCCCCCACTTAAGTATGGGATAGGAAGTCTAATTAGAACTGCCACATAAGCACATTGTTAGACAATTATGCTCTTAGCTCCAATCAGATTGATGTATCTTTTGACATTTATTGTAAATGAATAAAGTACATAATTGATTCATGTCATTGTGGTGTGTTTCTGTGTAATATCCTTAAATTGGACACTTATGAGACTCGTGTTAGTTTAGAATCTTCACAACCGTTGGATAGATCTGGAGAGATTTATCCTGCCAAGGCTGACACTGATGTGCCGCCAAGTTGGTTGGAGTGGCTTGTCTCAGTTGCCAGGGTGAGACCTAAGGTACATGCAGTGTGGGTTTTCTTGAAACCCTGAATTGGACCAAATTCCAGTATTGCCTTGGACCTTGGAGATAGATGGGCAAAACTGGAATATTACACTTGACCCTTAGACTCGATTATGGTACTGCACTAGGTGTCAGATTAGGCTGTCTTTGATATGCCAATCAGCGAGATCCTTAGAGGGGGTCAAAACCTGGGTATGTTGGGACAGTCGAAGAATTCACCTGAGTGGGTGATCATAGTGACAGGATCAACCCCTTTGTCGGACAAAGTGAATGATCGGGGAATGCATTCTCTCTGATGGAAACCTAAACTGCCGGTAGTGGATTTCAAATATGTTTGAAATTTGGTTTTGCAAAATATATTTATATATTATGGTTTCAAAATGTTTGCAAAAGGTTTTAATTCCTGAGATCTATGTGAGTAGAGAGTGTAGCGCTGTACCTTGCAGCTGAGGGAGAGGTCCTCTCTTGTCGGGAAGTGTTTGATCATTATGGGCTGAGAGGTTAAGTTTAAGACCATTGAGGGTAATACCTAATGGGTTAATCTCTCATCTGCCCACAGTTTTTGAGTTTTCATAAGGTGGCTGGATCCAAGAACCATTTAGTGTAAATGTTAGGCCCATTAAGAGCCCATGGTGATGGACTCAGGGGTTCACTGTCTCCTACAGTGAATTTGGCTAGGCCTTGTAACAAAGGCTGGGCTGAACCCATGTGGCTGATGTGTAGATCAATGTTAGGGTCCCACACTATACAAAGAGAGCCAACTGGGCAGTAGGTTAAAGAGTAAGTGAGCACATAAGCTTTATGAGCCTAAGGCCCAATTCGAACTGGTCTTAAGTTAGTTAATTAAAAGGGGGCGAATTCAGTTTTAAACTGATTAGGATTAGTTGAAGGATAAGATAAGTCTTATCCATTTAAAAGTCTAGATCCAAATATAAGATTTGGATTAGGAAACTCTCTCCTAATTAGATTAGGAGGCTGATCCAGAGAAGGCTATAAATAGGGGGCGAATTCTTTAGATTAAACACACAACAACAAAGTGCAAAATTCTTCCCAGTTATTGCCACCCCTACCTAGTTCGATTTCCACTTGTGGATCTGATCGATAAGTGTTCTTGATATTGTTTGTGGTAGAAGAAACAATTTGAAGTCGTGCTCACCAACCCTTACCCAATTCTTGTTGAAGAATTTAGGTTCTTGCTAGAGAACCATCCTACTGATCCTGCTTCACTACATTTTGTGTCATCTTTAGTGGAGGCGGGTTTTGGTCTTCTCTTTGGGCGTGAACACCTGCGTTGGGAGTTACTGCTATTTCGTATCAGGTATATTCATCACTTTCTATTGGTTTCAGATCTGGTCCGGTTTTGGATTCAAGAATAAACCTTGAAAATGTGGTTTTCTAAATTAGGGAATACGATTCCTGGATGGGAGAGAAATTTTTGAAATTTCGCTCAACCTTCCTACAGGGTTTGGCCATCCATATGATGAATCTCCCATCCTTTCACACATAACATAAACTGATTGGAAAAGACTAATGTACCCCTCATTCGGATAACTCTAACACTCTCCTTCAAGTTGGAGAATATATCCTTCATTTGGCTAACTCTAACACTCCCCCTCAAGTTGGAGAATATATGTCATATAATCCCAACTTGTTACATATATAGTTCACTCTCTCTGAGTTTAAACATTTTGTAAACAAATCTGCCCACTGATCACCTGAGCCCACATGTTCTGTGCTTATCTCTTCAATAAGGACCTTTTCCCTCACAAAGTGGCAATCAATCTCTATGTGCTTTGTTCTCTCATGAAAAATAGGACTAAATGAGATGTGAATTGCAGCTTGATTATCACAGTACAATCTCATAGGTCTGTCCATTGTGAATCCAATTTCTTGTAGGAGGTTTCTTAGCCATACTAATTCACATGTAGTGTGTGCCATGGCTCTGTATTCACCTT